GCTCCTTAATTACATCAGAGTGGGATTTTCTACTCCTAATGCTTAAGTGCATGTCAATACCAAGACAGATTGCAATATGCATATTACTATGCCAAGAAATCACTTTAAAATTATTCAATGTAATCTGTTAATAATTGAGTAACTTCTGGTAAAGAATTATTAAAAACAACACAAATTCATCACTCTGAAAAAAAAAAAGAATTAATAAAAACCAAACGGTATATGGAGTCCCAAGATCTAAGCAACCTCACACTGAGAAATAACTATCTTCTGTATTCTGAGAGAACTATCTTAAAATGCTTGTATTTTTAAAATACTGGATTGCTATCTAAATCATGTTCCTTTCATTCCATTCCATTCAATGCTTACTTTGTTCTCCTTTTGAGAACCTCTGGTTTTAATCCACCCAGTTGTAGGGTTCTCCTTTCCTAGCAAAAGTGATATCCTAATATTTAAAATTAAAAATCCTAATACTTAAAATTAAGTGAATCCTAAGTGATAGCCTAATATTTAAAATTAAAAGTGATGTGCATCAGTGTTCCAGACAGGATTCACTAACTGGAGATATATTTGCTACAGAGGTAGGAAAAAGCAGGAGGAGGAGAGTGCAGAAATAAGAGTTGCTATGCCAACCCACAAATGCTAATGGCATGAAAAATACAAAAAGGTCACAGAAAAAAAGCGAAAGAAAAGCCCAGATCAGAGTGTATGTGTATTTCATTTACTAAACAACACAGCCACTGTATTTAAAATCCTTCAAAACAATATAATTTGAAAAGAAATTGCAGCACAGTAGCCCATTGAAAATCAGGTTGTCTTTGTCCCTTCTTCTGATCTAACTCTTAAATGCTTTATTCTTTAGAGTCCTTATCGTTAAAATGGTGTTTTAAGGAAAAGTTACATATGAATTAATGGATTGGCCTGCAGGAACACCACCTAATGATTAGGGCAAATATTTCAACACAGAATAGCAAACAAGCATAATAAAGAAAATGAGTTAAAAGTGCATTCAGATTAGTTCTACATTAATTAGATCATGCATAAAGATATTTTTTGTTTTTTTTCGAGACAGAATTCTGTAACAAACTCAGACTCGTATCTCCCACCTAAATGGTAAAATGATAAATACAAATTTTTGAGAAATCTTTTATGAGGACTTTCAGCTGATTTTCAAATATTTGGGTCTGCTTCATTAAAAACAAAAAAAAAAAAAACAAAAACAAAAACAAAAAAAAAAAAAAAACAAAAAAAACACACCAAACAAACAACTGTTCTGTTTTTTCTATACTCTTCTAAGATTTGTTATGGCAGATCCTAGTAGTAACTCCTATACTCAAATATAATTCAAGGAGATGCATGCAGTACAGTCTTTTACATGAAACTCCTGCAACAGAGACTGTTTATGACAGAATTCAAACCCACCCAAAATACAGAATGGGTTTTCTTTCTCACTTGAAATATGGTTCCAATCTGGTTGAAATACCGACCATTTTAAATTACAATTTTCTTTGTTTTTCTAGTACTCTAGTACTAACAGCATGCCAATGACTTTTACCGGGTCAAACTCATGCCTTCTCCAGGGCAAAGGCAACAGTACTGGGATGTAGAAGGACTACCTGAGGACATCATCAGAGTATCCTCAGAAAGCCCATGGGGGAAGAGAGGAGGGCTGGGCCACAGCATACACTTAATGTTTTTGATGTGTACAGTGTCCTGACCTATTTATTATCAACTTTTTGAGTGGGCAGCAGGCAGAACATGGAAAATACAGAAATTCTACAGTATAACCTGAGTTTTCTAGCATAGAGTTGCAGATCCAAGATAAAGTTTTACGTAAGCTTTGGCTGAGCATTCAAAGAGAAATAAGTCGCACAACCTTTTGAAGTTCACTCATCGCTAATTAAAGAACTGCCAAGGCTTTACTAACAATTAAAAACTTGTCTTTAAAATCCCCAAAGAGGAAAATGCAAACAGCTGTTTTAATTAGCAAAACAGCAGATACTAATTAGCTTCTGTAACAGAGTATGCTGGTCCTTTAAGGAAAGGACCAGTTTCAGCCCAAGTTTGCTAGCAATTTAAACTGCAAATAGGACTGGAGTCAGATGCTGCAGAAAAAGCTTCTAATTCCTTGTGAAAGCAATTTCAAGTACACAAAAATGAGATTTTTATTTCAAGTAAGCTTTTATTCCTATTGTTCTTCTCGTGTCTGATCTTTATGGAACTGAGGCGTGTACAGACATTTAAACAGGGATTAAGGGTTATTTGAAATGTCTTTTCTTGTGATGATCCTGTGGGGATGATAACTGTAATATCTTCTGGGCAAATGGCCACTGTGTCTGGACACAGTAATATGTGTGTATCTGCACAGGAAACCCATCCAGTTCAGCAAGCCTGCTGTGAAAGTACGGGTCATTTGGGCAGCCGATGCAGAATTGCTCCAAAAGAGCACATCTTTCTGTTCTCCCAACCTGCCTGGGATGGTTCTGAACAACTAAGAAAAACTCAGATGAAGGAGAAGGGAGGGAAGATAAAAGAGGCTGGAATTATCACCGTGCTGTGTTCAGAGTACAGATCCTTGGAATCAGCACATGTGCTCTTACAAGGTAATTGATGGCATTTCCACCAATTTTAAGGTTAAAAAAAGATAAGCCACATCCCATGAGTTATGTTGCCTATACCTATGTTTAGAGATAAACATTTTGGTATTAGTGGGGTCAGTTGCCATGGACATGATATCAATAATAAAGAGGATATTGCTGCAAGTAGAAGATACAACATAAATGCCAAAAGAGAAATGCAATACAAGAGTTTTAAAGTCAATTTATTTGTACTATCTACATGGAGTGAAAGAATATTTGACACAATAGGTATGAAATGATGGCCTCAAATAACTATAAAATTATTATATCAAATAATTTTGATAGCCATATATGTGTTTGAAACTACCAGGCAGTGGTCAAATCTTTCTTCCAAACATCTGAAAGACACATCTCCTTCAGGAATGGTGTTTGGAAAAATCTAAAACTGTTGTGCCGGTATTCCTACACTGTAGGACATGACAGGTCAACAGCTGTAACTGGAGGAAGAGAATTGCTGCTCTTTTACCATTCTGCATGCTTTGCAGATTCTACATTCAATAAGGAGTTACCAAGGTCAGATGGGAAATAAACGCCACTCTTCAAAAATTAATATGGGATTTTGATTAATGAATGGAATTTTAAATAAAACCAAAACCATTTCTTTGTAAACACAAGGATTGTGATGATAAAATGCTTTCGTAAGATATAGAGAAATGTATGAATGTACCCCCATACAAGCAAGACTGTTAATCTTATTTCTCTGGAATCTCAAGCAGTGTCACAGGATTCAGCTATCCACAAATAAAGCTACATAGCCAGGAATCAGTATTGCTATTTGTGTTTATGCTTTCATGACATATTTTAACATCTCAGCTCTGCCTCCTAAATGGTTTCTGAATAATTTTATGTCTTTGTATAGTATTTCAACACCTGTCTTTCAAAACCATATGAGAACATCTTATTTTCTTTCTCTTTGAGACAAGTACTTTTAAGTAGTTAGGAAAAGAAAACTTAATCCAGAAACACTGTGCTATATGAGGCTCTTCAGAGTAAAATACCAACTTCATAGGATTTAAGTGAAATTAAATGAGACCAGGATATAACCTCACCTGCATACATGGTCTGTTCTTGATGTTTACTGCTTTCTCTTCAAATTAGTATTCCTTTGTCTACTGATTAAACTTTCAGAGATAAATAAGTTTTTCAGCAGGATGAGAGAGTATGTCACAGCAGAACTACAATTTCTGTAATTTAACTTGTTCTGCGTATTAAGGTATATAATGTGCATTCAGAACCAGGATTTTCTAACTATTTTTCTAGTGATAACATATACAAAGCTCAAATGTTTTCTCCGTCACTATGTTTTGTTTTTCCCAGCTTAAAATGCAAATGAGACATTTGGTTGAGACACTCCTGTTTTTCCAGTGAACAGAAGATGTGGCACTGTTCAAGCATTGTTCCTTTTGGGCCCCACCCTGCTCATGAAGAGGGTTCAAATGAGTTCAGTGAAATAACAAAGACATTTCTAGAGGGGAATCTTCTCTGGAAATACTTTTTAATGACATTCTAGTTGCTGAGGTGACCAGGCTTAATTGGCCTCAGGACAGACGAGGATCTTGTCCTTTACTAGAAGGACATTTTTGTTCTCGTATTACAAAAACAAGAGGGTTTACATCTAAATGAAACTGTATTGATTAAAACCATTCACTTTTTTATTCCCCAGGTAGAATAATACCTGTCAAAACTCCACAAATACACTAAAGCTGCTTAAATGGACTTTTATTAAAAATCTTGTTATTAACAACAAACTGATTATGACAAAATCAATCACTGCTGAGAAGCACCTAAGAATTCCAAATCCACTTCAGTTATAGAAGCTTGATCCTTAACTGTGAGAGAGGTTAAAACACAGGAGGAGGAGTTAAAATACATCAAATTATATCCTTTTTAGTTAGATCAATACTTCAGTTTGGGAGGGGAAAACACAACCCAACAACTAAAAAAACAGACAAATATTATATTAAAATGTTGAAGACCCAATAAAATATTATAAATAATGAGTACATGGTTATAGTAACAGATCATTGAACTATACCTCCTTAAACAAAAATGTGAATAAGGACCTACTCTTTCAATCTGTCTTCCCAGTTGCATGTGTGTAAGCTTTTCCAAACTCCAAGTCAAAATATTTTTCACTTATCTTAAGTAAATGCTTACTTCTTGTAAACATACCTCTAAAAATTACTGCTTCCACATGCCAGCATCATGCCTAACTCAAGAGGTTCCACATGTTAAGTTTACAAGTACTGCAAACCTTTCCTGCTGCGCACTGGTTTGCTTTCCTCATAGAGAAAACACAACATATGAAAAAACAAAAACAAAACCGTGTTAACAGAAAAAAGAAAAAAAAATCTTACTTACGAGTACTTTGTCAGCAGATCCAAATTATTATGCATGTTGATTGGATATGTCTCACTGAGATGAAATAGCTTCTCTAAGGCCTCATAAATGAAAATGATGCAGATAAGAGAAGCAAAAGCTTCTTCAGTAAACCGGGTAATGTAGCAGACTAGGGAGCTTGCATCAGTTGCAACAAGGATGATGCACAGGATTGCAGTCCACAGTCCAATGCTAGCTCTCAGAGAAAGGTATGACAATCCGTACTCTCTAAAAATAAAAACAAAACCCAAACAAAAAAAACAACCCCCCACAAAAAAAAACATTAAACACAGTTTATGTTATGTTTTGTCTAGCCATAGTAATGCAAAAGAGATGCCTCCAAAATTTCCTTTGCCTAGGGATGGATGTGTGATTCTGGGGGCAGTCCGAAGTGGAAATTATTTGCCTATTGTGAACTGAAGACACTGTCAAGTCACCTCTTGACCTGAGCTGTCCTCCAAGTTAATGGGATACAAGAGAGCTCTATCTCTACTACAATGAGCGAACAGCTTTGAGAGTAGTCACACTCATGAGGTATGTAAGGTCCACCCACTTTTATCCCATATTCTGGCTTGTGCACAGTCAGCACCTGCCAATTTCTTCTTAAGCTGCGAGAGTAGCTATAATAACAACTTTCATCAAAACCTTGTATGATTATTGAATCTGACAGTAGAGACTCTGTGTTGCGTGACACTATCACAGAGAACTGAAAGGTCTACCTGAAGGTGAGAAAAAAGTTTTTTGGGGTGGTAAGCAGGGTCTCCTACTGTATGTTGCTCAGGAGATTTTGATGAAGAAGTCCCCGTCACAGCAATGAGGCAGAAAAGCAAATATGACTGCAGAGAAGCATGACGGTTGCTGAGATTCAGACATAATTTTTACCCACTCTGTGGCAGAGGTATGTCATGTATAGCGCATTAACGTAAACATGGGGATATGCTGCTCTGGTATGATGCTTCACCCCTTCTTTGTTTAGGTGGAGGGAGGGCATAATTAGTGATTATTGAAAGACGGCACCACTGCCACTGCACTTAATTCCTGGGTGAGAGGTAAAACCTTTTCCATGAGTTAGGGATGAGAAAAACCACAGATTGAAATGTATTGTCTCAGAGTAGAAAATGATACAATAATAAAACAACAACCAAAAACAACAACAAATCAACCTTTTTGCATTAACACCAATTCACTTTTCTCAATTCCTGTGTATTTTTCAGACTTTGAAATCCTAAGCAGTGCACTCAAAAAAAACCTGTTGATCTCATTCTGCAGATGCTGGAACTTTGGGATCAGTGTCTCTACCTAACAACACCCAAGGGATGATGCGTATCAATCTTCACTTACTTGCAAAATTTGAATAAGATCTTCTCGAACACTAAAACTGGTCCTGTGCTTCCAAGTATAGTGAGAGGCTGCCCGCCAAAGAGGGAGTAGGCAATTCCAGTCATGGATGCTCCAAACAGCGATTCTATTGCACTCTGAATATGATACAGAAAGAAGTGTCCATACATTTTTAAACAGATTCTTTTTGCAATATCTTACTCTGTAGCCTTCTAAACATTGAATATAAACAAATATTTAAAGGTGATTCATGCAACAGTAAGCAAATACTAACCACAAACCTAGGAAAATTCGTTTTAAAAGTTCAGATTTAACACATACTATACGACCTTCAGTTGCTTCTCCCAGCAGACCACCAAATGTGATGACAGGAGACATGCAAGCACAGTAGAGAAATAAAAATGATGCCAGACACTGCAGACTGAGAGCATCCCTGAAGTCACTCCAGAAGAAGGGAGCTTTCCTTTTTATATCTAAAATCAATCCTCCAAAAAATCTAAAAAAAATTAGAAGAGGTCAAATTAATGAAAAAGGCATCTCAAACTTTCTTCCATAGTATTGCTTTAAATAAATTGAAGAGAAGTTATTGTTCCTTGATCAAATGATACATACTCTTACAATTCATCTTCCCAGAAAAAAAGCTTCTAGGAACCCTGTCTTGATAACTTTAATCAGGAAATGGCATTTTTAGAACAAACTGATTTGCTTGTTTCTCTCATAAAATCTTCATCTGATCATCCAGATGCAAAGCTTCTGAACAATTGTTAGCTCCCACACATAAAACCTTATTTATTATGTGGAATAATTCTTTCCATTTGTTTAATCAGCCACCACAGTGCCCGCTTGCCTACATGTCTACATATAGAGTTTCACATTATTTATGAACCTGTTCCTCAATACACTTGATGATAGAATTGAATGTAGGCCACAATTTTCCAAGGACAAGAACTGACATCTTTTGTCATTTACACTATGCTAAATATAATCACATATTTAGGAACAGATGCTCCCTTACAATATAGTTAAAGTAAATATCCCCACAATGCTCTTTTTCTCACAGGCACCCGAAGTATCAGATGTTGCTGGGTTAAAGAGGAAGATAAAGTGCTACCATCTCCCTAAATATCAGAACAATCCTTCAAGCCATCAATTACCAGGTTTATTGGTAAGAGAACAGCTTACAGGCCATCACCTCCTTTGCCTCACTGTGCACACCAAAACTGCAGCTGAATCTTTTAGCCTTATGCAGGCAGGAATTGGCAGCAAAGTAAAAGAAAAGCCTATAGCACAACTAGACTGCACTATGGTCCCCACTAACAGCTGATGCGCGTACACCACAAGATATTAGATGAGAGAACTTAAGTATTCCTTGGGGCAAGTTCTTGCTTCTGATGTGTGTATATTGCAGCCACTGTGGTAATCATAGCCTCATGTACCAGGACGTATCATGGCTTACTGAGGTAAAAAACAAACGCTAGAGCAGCACAACCCAGAAACTTCAACTACAAAATAATTGTAAGCATTCGTAACGCATGGCACAAGAATATTCCCAACTTTTCCTTTGTGCTGTGCAACAGTAAGAAATATTAATAAGGCTTAAGAAAGATCTGAACTTTATAAATGAGAAAGCAGCCTGCAATAAATACAATGTGAAAACTCAAATCCTTTTGTCCTCTCTCTCTCTCTGCAAATTAGCATGTAGTGTCATTTTCAACCATGTGGTTCATGAATCAGGAAAAAATGCCCAAATAAAAATCATATGCCAAGCCAGTCACTTGAGCGAGAACCAGACCATTATGATTCATTTGAAGTGCATCACTTAAAACACCTAAACTCTTGCATATGCTTTCACTAACTTTCCAGTGCGTTGCAGTTCTGGTCCAGAGTGTCCTCCAGGTTGCTCTGCTTCCCCATGGGCTGCAGTTCCATTTGGCACGCCTGGGATCTTGCGCTTCTCCTACCAGAAGGAAAAGATATTTTGCATAGGTCTTAGCAACCAAAACATAATTTTAGCAAAGGAAACAGGCTTTGAGAGTTGAAAGACTAAACATGCAAATTTTATTCTAAGAGAAGTTCTTTAACCAGAACAGAAGGAATTGTGGTCTAAGAAATTTAAAGAATTGATCACAGACAATTTTGTATCAGAAAACATTGTAAAGAGTAGCAAGCCAGGCAGCTTTGATCAATTCTTGCAATAAGCTTAGAAGAAAAGTAAACCATGCCTGATCAACATAATCAAAGATCCTTATGACCAATTACCCTTGAATCTTTAGATACAACTATCTGTCTTCATTCAGGAGCGAATTAATATTGATCTACACAAAATGTCATTGCTATACCGTATGCTTGCAAGACAAGGGTTCTTTTAAAGCAAATTAAACAAAAGAGCACACAAAATGTCTATACAGTGACTCTGATAAATGCTAAACTCATGAGACTTAATTCTACCTAGTAAAAATTCATCACAATGTTTAAAAGTGTCTGAATTTTACAGTGTACAAACCTGAGAGGGAACATTTTTTGGTGGTTCTATTCGAATTGTTGGGTCCCACTCTCCGGGAGGGAGAACAGTAACCTGATCAAGAAACTCATCAATTCCAGACACCAAGTCATTGCGGTCTTTTGCTTTGTAAGCAACATCATGGAACACCTGTGAAAAATGGGAGACAAGTACGCGGGAGGAAAAGAGATGGAGAAAGAATACTCTCATAACCTTTTTCACAATGGCCCCTTTTCTCTGGAACAGAAAGCACTTCATACAGCTCCTACCAAACAATCTCGGCTTCAACTGACTATAGAGTTTCTATTAAATAGTTTTCATAGCAGCTCCAGCTGCCATGGAAAAACATCCTTATGGGTGCTAAATGTTATAGAGGTTCTACAGTTTAAATACAATTCAACTAGAAGGTAACTGTGTAAAATGGAATCTTCTCTTTAAGGATAATTTTGCTTATGAACATTGTTTCTCTTTTTGTTATCTCCTTATGGCAGCATAATCTGGGCTGTTACAGAATCATGAAACGAAGTAGAATGCAATTCTGTGCCTCATTAGAATGATTAGCTACATTTCATTTGGACAATTCCACACTGGAGATTCCATATCAAACCTCCTCAGCCAGTACAAAATGACTAAAACCAAGCCATGAATAAAAATACCTCATCTGTCATTAGTGTTGCAATTGATCTTCCAATCTCATGGTACTGTTGCCCTTTACCCAGTGGTCCAAGAAGAATAAACAAAAATCTGGAAATAAAAGGGAAATTGCAATATTTCAAAGGATAGATGATTGAAAGTAACTATATACACTGCCGAAAAACTTAAAAACTGGACTAGAAGAACTTCTAAGACAAATATTATATATAATCTCCTTCAAGATCCTCACACATGCATTTAAACATGAAGCTCTAGTTAGAAAAAAATATGAAAATAACTTCCAAAAATATACCATAAGCTTCACAGTCAGACTTGACTGAGACTATCAAAGCCTCCTTACATAACCTCATCTTACATAATAAATACATGCAATTATAGTCTATGTACAGAACACATTAATTTATTTAATTCTATTAACTCAATAGAATCAACTATTTTCTGATAGGGCTACTTCAGTGCAATATTGGGGAAGTTAAATTACCCTGAATAAAATGAATTTTTAAATCATTCTTACTCCCATTAGGGCTCTGGATAGCATCTACTCTAGGCCTGGGGCTAGTGAGGTTCAATAAAATGTGGAGGATAGGTCCACATGAAATAACTGAAGTTCTCAGATGTGTCTAATAAATGTCTTTGTTAAAGAAAGAACTGAATTCGCAACTCAGTAACTGACAAAAGCTGAAGGTCACATCACCCTGCCTCCACAAACTGAGAAAAACACGAAGAGAAATAAAAACAACTGTACCTCGTTGGAATCGGAACTTCTGCTACTCCTGTAAGCAGCACTGCAGGGGATAACCTAACAAAAGCAACAACCGCACGGTCCAGGAACTCCAGTTCACCAACTAAGATGTTTGATGCTTCAGCTCCAGGCGGTATCTTTTTCATAAAGTGTAGGTCAACCTGGGAAAAGTATATTAAATTATAACCCAAAAGCTATTAACAGGTATTTTTTCCACTATTTGTTGATAAAGACTCTCTGGTCACTGCACTATGATCTTAGACATTTCAATTATACAGTTTCTACTCTTCTTGTCTGTTGAGTATTTTTTTTAAGTAAAAACGTGTCTCAAAACCAAGCAACTGGTCTTTCATCATTTGACTGATTTTTTTCTTGGAAACACAGTTTACATATAGTAGAATTAATTTATAAAGACAAAAAAACACATTTGAAATTTTGTTAGGAATACAATATTAATTTCCTAGTACTACTTTTTATCAAGAACCGTAACAGCATCAGTAATTCGTAACAGAATCGCTAAGTCATAACAGCAGAAGAAATGAAGACACCTAATTTTTCTATAATTAAAAATTCTGGAAATCATGAATTCATACTTCACAGTTCCCACACTATGATCTCAGTGAGAACAAAACCAGGTTCCACTACACGTAATTTTCCTTCTACTACTCTGACTGAGATGTATTTTTGTTTTGGGATTTAATGAAAGATGGTTGCCCTTCTGCTGAAAATAACTGAAAATAAGCTATGACCATGACTGTCTCAGGAGTAAATTGAAAGAACAAAGCAGAATAAAAGCTTTGGAGATTTAAGGCAGTGATGTTGACTTTCTTGGGGACAGCAGAACATCAGGAAAAGACAAACAGCTTCACCATGATGTCGCTACATAAACTCAAAGTATTTGCCTAGGAATGTGTTCATTTGTATTTATTTCCTTCGTATTAGTCCAGAGTTTACTCTGTAACAAAGTTCAACATGCAGTAATAGCATATATAATGTATGTTTGATTTCACTATGCACCAGTATTGTCTACATTTCAAAATGCATGAATTTTGTCATTTGCTTTCCTTTTATTAATCTAAACACAACAACAGCAACCAAATCCAATATAAACTGTTAAAGTGGACCATTTTAATGTCTATCTTACAGCCATCTGTCAGTACTAGTTTGCATAGTTTTTGGTAATATTTAGAAAATTGTTTTCTTGCAAATGGCTCTGGCACTAAATCAGAATTCAGATATAACACAGTTGCCTGTGTAATGAAATCTTATTTTTCTGAAATCACAGAGAGATGTCTAATGCCTTCCAAAAGTAACCTAGAACCATGATCAAACGCCTCATAAAGCTAAACAAGCAACAAATCAACCCAGAAGGTTGGAGACCAAGTACTTTTTCCAGGTAAAGTATCAGTGAGCTAAATTCTATTTCCCACTGAAATCACAAAATAAGTCTTCAGGGTTAAATACAAAACCAACACAGATTCACTCTGCACCTAATTTTGGTGTCATAGATCATTTATAGCTGAGAGAAAGGAAGCAGTCTTTCAAGTCTATAGCAATGTGCATTCAGTACAAATTTTACCTTGTGAACAGTTTTAACACTTAATAACCAATGTCTTATGTACAACATGTTACAGTTGTCACCTTAAGGTCCCACTAACATACAGATCACACAATCAAGATTCAGACCTGAAGGAAAACATTCAGTCTTCTCTCTACCAGAAAGTATTTCCAGTTACGTTTCCTGTACTATTTATCATCTCGAGAATCCACAATATTCTAAGTAGTAAAGGGAGCCCCAGTTAAAAGGAAAGTAGCTGGCAGAGTAGAATCAAACTGGGAAAATACACCTGAAACCCGGGTGTTATTTCCACTACACAACAAGAGCGGAGGTGGCCCTCACGTGAATTTAGGGCAAAGGCAGAATCTGCATCTTTCAAAGGCTTCATCTAACTTATCCATCATACATCCCTTATCACAAGCAGTCTTAAGCTGTAGAGACCTCACGTGGATCTTCATCTGCACCCTAACCTGAGCCACATTTCATGACCTGGCACTAAATAGTCCCAGTACGCTCCAAATAAACATGGAACTAAACAACTGATGTGGAGGCCATTCCACTCCAGGGCAACTCAAGGACTGAAAATGGTGGTGGAGGCCTTCCCCAGAACCAAACATAAACTGACATGAAGACAAACAGAAAATACCCAACATCACTTCTTAGGAAAGCCGTGACACATATTAACCAGACTCATTTATAGGCAAGGCCAACCAGTATTCAAAGCAAGTCAATTATTTCACATGGTGTCTGAAAAAAGCAAACTGTCAGTACGGGATCAGGGTTTAATTCAGAAATAATGTTTCCATGTGGAGCATAGGAATGTTGCCATGAGAAGGGACGAGACTACGGACTCTTCATATATTTTGTATTTAAGGACAAATAGGGTTCCCTTCAGACTCTGGTATAAGAGGCAGAGATCAGCCAGATGCAGTTGTAAACTGCCATCCCTATCTTGCTCAGATACAGGATCAAGTGGTGCTGTGACAGATCACCTCCTTATCACCCCCAAAATACAAAGTCCTAGTGGTGTCCCAAGAGGGAGAGGAGTGACACATTTACAAGTTCAACCACCAGAAACTATGTCTCCCTCTCTGTGCTGCTGAAGTAACATTCAAGACAGCATTTAGTGCCATGCCTTCCATTATTCATAAATAGATGCCAATATAATCAACACAGTCTCAGTGCTGTATTCAGATTAAGTCAGCTTTTTGAATCCACTCCAAAATTTGGAATATTTGAAGTAGCCCAAGGGAGAAAGATTAGCAAGGAGAGAATATGTGAGGTAGTCAAGGGTGCTTTTTTGTAGAAGATAAATGAAATTAATATGTGGAACAAAATTAGAGCAAGAAATCACAATACTCAAGAGAAAATTAGTGTACCGCTCTACTTTCCTCTCAATCTGTGCATATAATTCCAATTATAACCATTGGGAGCTATTGCAATAGCACATTTCAAGGGGAAATTGTACTTATGCATCTTCAAAAGGATAAATGGATCTATTTAAAGGCAGTAAAAAAAGATACTTAGATTACAATCCTTTACTGTTATTTTATTCCTGCAAACAAAAGCTGTTCCTTTCATATTCCTCACTTCCTTGTGGGTATCCAATAATGCCAAAGCTAGTCAAAAAAATTACATGTCTATCTCTTCTCAGGCCAGTTTAAATAGGAAGAGTTCTTTTGATCAGAAAAGATGCAGTACTACTAAAGGATGCAGCTTCCAATCCTACTTGATACAAACATCATGCAGCTAGATAACTGACTGGGATTTTGACCCCACAACACTGAAAGCAACTGGGGAAACATGCAAGAAAAGCACTACTGAAAGTCATGTTGTTCCCATTGGGTTGTTATGAGCCTCACCTCTGCACAGCTTAATTTTGAACAGACAGCTTTATTTATATCCTTTACAAAATTTTGTATCTTGATATTCGAAATCTTGCCAAAACAATTAGCTTTATTTAACACTTTAAATACAAACATTGGGAAAACAAAATCATACTTGACTTTTTAAAGCATCATCATCTTAGTTTTAAATAATTTTAAAGTATTAGCATTACATTTTTAACAACTTGTTGCTGTTTATAGATCTCCCTGCTACCTCTGTAGAAATGTGGTCCATATCCACATCCCCAGCCAGTTTCTTCTGTCTTTGACAAAAAGATCTGTTTCTCATCTTTATTTTAGCCATATACCATTCCTAGTCTGGCATGTTCAGTCAAGAATTCGAATGGTGCAAATAGCTACTGCTGCTAGGAAATAAGTCTGGCACCAGATGGAGCAATCACATAACTCTACTTTTAGCACAGTTGCACTAACATTAAGATTCAACAAAGTGCTGTTCTTCAGAATTTTGGTTTAAATCACCTTTCTTCACTTCCTCAACCTTTGTTGTATTAATGTGTCAGCTGAAGTCATCTACCCCTGTCAGGTCTGTCATCTGTACCTAATGTGACAGTTTGTTTTAGGTACATAGAGACTTCTTAAACAAATTAGGATTCTCCTCTACATTAAAACCTAGAAGCTGTTTGCTTTTCTTTGCTATCTAACATTGAACTGTCATTGCAATCTCCACTACTGCACAGTTAACATCTTTTGTGAAGTGTACTGAAATATCTTGGCTTGCCAGAAGAATTAAGTTATAGGTTTACAGAAACACATTCTGTTTGAGACATCTGGAATCCACGAGTTCAGGTTATAAAAAGCATAGTTTGCATCCAGGCATTACTTCTAAAACAGTAAAAACTTGAGAGGTAAATGTGAATTAAAAGAATTCCGAATTACTTTCCTGCTTAGGTAATTCTGTTAATTTGTAAAAAATCCCCCTAAAAATTGCACACCTAAGATATTGTCATGCAATAAATTTATCCACACTTCTAAACTGTGATTTCCTGTTAACAGTAATTTATCAAGAAAATGAAAACTTTTTTGTTGTATACAACTGTGTTGCCATGCACACAAAACTAATGCTGGAGGAAAATTTGCACTTCATAGCTTTTGCCAATTCACATGGATTCACGTGATTTAATTTAAAAGATCTATTTGGTAGTCAGAAAGCTCTTTTCACTGTCAGCAAACACTCACCTTGCTAAAGTCAACAGTGCTGTTTTCTCTGCTCACATCATTTTTGTTTTCAATACAGGCTGGAGCAGACTGTGGGGAAACAATCTGACCTGCTAAAAAAAGTACCATTATTACAGACTACTAACAATTACTTCAATAAATAAAGCAACATCCAATTTGTTAAAGACCTACATACATTTCATATCACATGTATATGAAGCATCCAAACATGGCATTTTAATTAAATACTTACTGAGAACAGCACATTCTCAAAATACAGAGCATTCATCATGTGCAGTTAGAAATGGGAGAATGTCATTTTAAAAATGTAAAAGATACTCTTTAATATATTGGAAGACAAGCTTTCTATGCCAATTAAAGGTCATGATTTTTAAGATATTACATTTGATGAAAGTCCCACTATTCACATGGGTTTCTTAGCAATTTCAGGAGCTGCCAATTTTGGATAATCTCTGTCTACAAGAATACTCCTCACTGAATAAAACAGGATTATTAGTTTTCATAAATTCACTCATAATAATGCCCTGTTTATACCAACAGCTACAAAACCCAGCATAAAAATGGGCTGCTATAAAAACAGATGTATTGGAAATCAAGATGATTTGAAAACTCGGTATTGAACAATGTGATTATTGTCTTGTGTAAAACAAATGTTTCAGCAAATACATTTTCAAAAAATTCCAGTGAGGCTTTAGTACTTTGTAGAAGTTTTAAAAATATCTCAAGATGAGAAGCGGTTAAACATGCCTCAATCTCATAAGCAAACGGTAAAGCCTTTTGACCAATATATTCTCCCAGCAAAAGCTCAAAAACAGGATTAAGCAACAAGTATATGTCACACAAAGCATATTTTTACTTCATGCCAACATTGCCCCCGTCCGCAGTCACAGGCCACCATCCACACACTAAGGGCACACAAACCCCGCAGGTGGACCATTCCCTGCTTGCCTGCACTCTTCCTCCCTCCCTGGCATGGCAGGAACCGTGCACAGCTCTGAACACCACAACAAAGTACAGGAAAAAGTACTAAATATGTGAGCCAACTATCTCTTACTGCCCTAACGCATACCCAGGAATAACTACAGAGTCCAACTGGCCCAGAGTCAGGATCTCGTGCCCAGCATATATTTGTTTCCATAGCAAATAAAGTCTCTCATATGACTGAGAAATGATGATGTGAAAACATTGGTTCTGGTGAAAATCAACCTAAACTTGCACAGTAACTAAGACCATATGTTCACAATACTTGAAGACAGTCAGAAAGTCCTCAGCTAGGCATGTCGTCTGGGCAATTCAAAAAGCCATGGTGTGTCCCCTCACACCACTGCAAACACATGCTTTCAGTTCAAGCATGTCCTCAGCCACAAACAGGAAACAGAACACTGGATCCAGTCTAAACAGGACCAGAAACTTGCAAGAGGCTCTCAGCCACTGCTAAATTCCTTAACTATCCAGCTTCTGTCACAGCTGAGCACTACGGTATCCTTGTTTAAGCTGGTCATGAATTCCCAGTTGTATCACTTGCTCAGGGAAAAGGTTTGTTTTCATGAAAATCAACATCTCGTTTTCCACTATGCAAATCTCCCATAACACAAAACAGTTTTCAGACCCTTGTGCTGCGTCTTGGTAGCATAGCCAGAGATATTTCACTTTGATTAAGAAGTACAGGAAAAAAATGTTTTCAAATGTATTGCTAGGAATCTTATTTTTAAATGTATCAATCTTAAAAATGCAAATAGTCCAATTTCTGATCCAGGACAAAGACAGATCACAGCAGGAACAGAAATTACGGCTTTTGTTCAGCACTACAGTGAAATAAACAGAGAATGGTAAAAAAAAGCAGACATGACAAGCATGTTAAACTAACCAAGTAGACAAAAATATGTCAGGATTAGAATTTACATATGGCAAGAACAAAGGACTGATTTCAGAAAGCACCATATTAATGTAACTTAAAGGAGTTCACATTAAAAGACTTAATTCCTTAATGTCACAAGATACAACTTTTGTAAATCTGAAGCTAGAAATTATTAAATATGCAAGATGCCTATAAACGGTCATTCAATTTGCCTTTTAATTAGAACGTAAAGAAAAACACTGAGCTCTATCACTGTTACACCATCACCTTTACATTATGTATCTCCATACACTAATTCACACTGTAATTTTTTCTGTATTGTTTATTTAGCAGATTTAGGATTACTTTTACAGAAATAATCCTGTATAACTATTAAAAATAATTAACACAAAAATTTTATTTCAGTACCACTCTGAAAATTTAAAGAATATTAAAAAAAAAACACCAAACTTTCCACTAATTCTAAAAGAGAAGTCTTTAAAATGCTCAGGGAAAATTCCTCCCTTATCTTACTCCCAGAAAACTGTAAATGTAGTAATACTAGTCCTTCTTAACTCTTAACTTCTTCCTTTTACACACTCCTCCATATTTTAGGATCTATATAAAGAGAAATACTTGTAATAATTACTAATACTAATGTACATACTATATTATAAAGATGTTACAAGAAAGCAACAGAAATAGTAGTTCATTATCTTTCTGCTGCTAATTAGAGATTTACATTTATACTTCTTTTTTCTGGAACCAAAATCTCAAGAAAATGAGAGCAGGGATATCTGCCAGGGAGATAAAAATATTGACCAACAAAGGAGTCAGAGCATGGACCACCTGTTACGAATACTGAAACTTTAACATCATAATTGGAGGTGTCAAAAGCCTCTAAGCAATTAGCATAACAGTCCAAAGGCTAGCTTTTAAACATTGTGTCCACTTTTCTTTTAGGAGAAAAACATGTAAAAATATACATGGTAGGAAATAAAAGCCACAACCAGTAAGTATGTGAAGTTTATAAGAATAGCATATGTTCTTATTCTGTGCCAACAGAAGACCTCAAACTTTGATTTACCCATATGCTGGAGTAATCCGAAAGAACATGAGTTTTACCTTGAGGCAGTAAGAGACGTTTAAATAGCTCTGGATCTTGAGACAGCTTTCTGAATCTTGGAACAAGAAGTTTGGGGGGCTTACTGTATTGAATATCAAACAAAATACACGGTAGAGAAGACAGGTAATTTTACTTTTCACATGACAGACACGGAGACAGTTTTTTAAAGAGCATCTTAAACTGCAGGAATGTGTTTCTTGTGCAACAGTAAAGTCAGTAAAATATGAATCTGGAACTAGGTTTCTGCATGGCCCTTCATCAGAAAAGTTAACACTAAAAGTACTGGTTTTTTTGAGACAGTTTTGCTCCTATACACATATAGTTTACTAAATGTCTATATATTTTGCACTACGTAGTAGGTAAATGCTATGGTGACCCACTTCCTAGCAGCAGGACTGCAATGCTACATGGTTGGTTTTATATTGGGTAGCTTCCTCTACTTTTGATTAATGAAGTCATAAAAATTCATAATTTAATTTTATGTATACTTTCATACTGACTTAAAGGAGGTATCTTTGGGGTGAATACTGTGAAGCACATGAGTAACTTTCAATGGGTTAGGACCAGAATCACACTGATGACAACCTAGTGAACACTGGCACCACTATGCTAGACTGGCTTTCCAAAGTCATTAAAAACACTCAGTTTGCTAAAGTATGTTGGTAATTATAGATGTGCTTTATTTTCAAGCCCCTTTTAATTTCAGGAACTGATTTTTTTTTCCTCTGAATTAAGGACACAGTTTTTGGCACCACGATGGTCCCAAGAAGAAACAATCAATTCAAGATATATGTGAATGGAGAGCTATCACATCATATATAGACTACAACAAACCAACCTACTAACCAAACCAAACAACAAAAAACATTTCTTCTCTGATTTCCACCAAAATGTCAGCAGTCACCGCAGCATCAAACTGTCTCTGGAATACAGGTATACTGAATCCATGTTTTCTCCAAATTTAACCTTTATGATATAGGAGCTTTCAAAGCACTATGTGCAAAAAAAAATTATTAAACAAACAAAAAAAACCCACCACCAAACCCTAGCTAGGCTTGAAATACCTGCTCTGAAAAAAAATACTTACAATGGTTTCTTACTTCTTTGAGTCATCAATATAGGGTTTAAGCTGGTAAGAATGGTGAGGGCATAAACTATCAAACTCTAAGAGTAAATAAGAGCAACAACAGCCTTGCCATTTATTAAGCTCTTCCATGCCCTGTCTCTGCTAGTTCTATTCCATCTCTATTGAACAAAATTTATTTACGCATTGTATGGGGTAAATACAGTATTTAAGAGTGCAATGTAGTACTTTGAGTCCTTATAAATCTAAAGTTTAAAAACCTTGATTTATCCTGTAGTCCATATAGATAAAGCATCTGAAGAGCTGCGTTCTTTGAGAATCCATCAAAGAGCCACAGAGTTTTGAAAGTATCAGTCAAACAAATGAACAATGCGGTGCCATTGAAATATTCAGCCGCTAAACAAAGGAACTTAATACCTAACAGAAAACCACACCAAAATGGGTGCTAAAGCTTATGTATGTATTAAAAGGCCAGTATCAGAACAGTTTTTAAAATTGTATTTTCAACTGTATACATAAAAAAGAGTGGTTGTTGGGTTTTTTTTTTTCAGATAATGAGGAATCACCAGAGCTTTGACAAGAGCAAGAATTCACATAAAAATATTATATCCTGCAAAGCCAAGCCACTTAAAAATTGCAATCCATCAAAATAAGGTTAATATTTGTTACACTAATAGAAGTTTGCATTTGATGACAGGTACCACATTTTGAGACTATGAGTCCAGCTGAAAAAAAACCCAGAAAATTAATCTCAGCAAATCAATGTCACATGCAACATACTATTAGCTCCCTAAAACTTAAAGCTCAAGACACTCAACTATGTCTACTGTATTTATTAATCAAAACCCAAGAGGCATCTAGAATGCCAATGACAGACAAGAAGAACAATTTATTCAGATACAAATCAAGGTTAACAGGAACAAACTGGCTGCAACTGACACACCAAAGGAAACTGAATCAGAAAATAAGCTGCTTATTTTTCTAGACTATATGGATTCCTTTCCATTTAGAAAAAAAAAATCTTATTTGCAAGTCAGCTATTACA